GACGCTAACCAACTGCTATGGGGTTAAGTTACGTTTTCCGCCGTATTTTCCGGGTGAATGTTACAGAAAAAAAATTGCTTTTTCTGCAGAGTCGGAGATTAGTACAATGTAATGTTTCGGGGAATTTATGAAGGGTTAAAAACGACTTCAATGCGTATAAAATCAAAATCAAGTTAGAATGACTCCTTCACTATCAAAATGCCCATTTTTGAAGCTATTTTACATTTTGTGAATTTTTTGCCTCTCGACTCATATATATTTTAGGGCTTATTTTTTCTTTTCGTGGGGAGCCCGCAGCAACAAAAAAGAACATTGATGTTAGACTTAAAATTTCAGCTAAACAATTTTGATACACTTTTTTTTCTTCTTGTCGAAAATCGTAATCTCGTGGAAATCTTAGCATAGAAAATTTTTTAAAAATCATCAATAGTTTGTTCAATCTTAATTTAGTCAAAACACAAACTAGCAGGCTAACAAGATAAGGAATGATGAAACATCAGTGCTCTGGGAATTTATAAATAATTTGTCTTAAAACAATTGGAGAATTGAGATTTTACCAATTCTCAAAAAAATCATTTATTAATTCTTAGAGTTCATGGTTTCTCAAGCGATTAAAAATACCTAAATAGTTTACTTGGTCATAATCGTTTCAAAATAACAGAAACTAGTTCACTGTAAATGACCTTGATTGAAAATGGTATGTGTCTGTTTAATTTGTGTGTTCGAGTTTTTTATTGCTGTTACAAAGAGCTATTGCAATTAAGAACGCAAACTAAATGGTTAAACCACGGTCAGCTTCCTTAGTATAGTTTTTGTGACAAAAGCTGGCATGTGCTGGTTTCTTGTTGTAATTATGAGCAACACAAAAACAACAAAAAAAATAAATAAGCGGGTTTTGCAAATTTCATATTATGAAGTTGAATGACTCGCACTTTTCAAAATTTTGTGAATGAAGCGGTATTTTTCTTTTGTGAAGATCATCTCGCGTATTTTATCATTCTGAAAAGCGCACATGGTCTTTAACATTCGTATATGCCGAAGGCGTCGTATAAGCCTTATACTTGCTATAGTTTTTCTGATTTTTATAGTGTTCTTTTTTGTTCTTATTTTTGGCGTGGTTTGTTCTTCTTTTTTAGATGGCTCAATCACCCAGTTCGCAGCTACGACGGTCGGAGTTTTCTGTAGATCAACTCTTGAAGCGAAAACCTACAAGACTGTGATAAACCGACAGAAAAGGCCCAGCTGACTATCATTGCTGAAAATAATCGATATGAAGATGTAAATAATCACTCGGTCCGTACTGTACTAGACTTCGAGGAGCCCGAGCCTGTTGGAGAAAAGAAAACAGTTATCTGTTTAATTATCTGTATCTAACCAAAAAATGGACAAACATCAGTAAGCAAAAAATTTTGTAAATACCTGTATATTTGTGATTTATGTTGTTCTTTTATGAATAATCGCTTCAGTTGATTGATTTGACTTAGCCTCAACCTCAAGCACTTTTTATTAAAAAAGAAGATGATTTTTGTGTTTTTCAGTGTCGAGAAAACTTTTTTTTAAGTAGTTTAATTAAAAATTGTTAAATTTTTTGACTCACGACTGATCTCCAAGTGTATATACGCTATTGCTTACCAATCAGTTGTGAGTTTTTTATTTTATTTGACTTCTCAGAAAAAAAAATCGAAATCGTTACTTATTTTGATCTTTTTTTTTCAACCAATGTAATCGGAAAATTTCGGTGCTGCTGGCACAAGTACATTAAGAAGCCAAATTGTATAATTTTTGAGTTGCTAGTGGTTTTCGCAACAGGCCGAAAACATATTTGTTGGGGTATCCGAAAACATTGCCATTTTTATCTGGTCTTCTTTGTTGTTTTGGATTCCCTAAAAAGCTAAAACATTTCATTAATCAAAGTTGCTCCAAAACAGGTAATTTTGTGGATCCTGTTAAAAAATTTGTGGAATCGAAAACAATGTTTTTGAATCCACAAAGTAAAAATATAGATTCATTACATTATAAAATACAAGTTTGCGGAATCGGCTTACAGTGGAATCGGCTTACATCATTATTACATAATTCCTTATACGCTACAGTAATGCGAAATTCGCTCAAACTTGCGAGTACGCTCATAATTTGCAGAGTCCATTACATTCGCGGAATGCGGATTAGCTAGCTATACTAGCTCGTTGCGGATTCCGCGATAAAAACTAATGTGCCGACAAATGTATCGTTACAGGTATTTGTGCGCGGAATCCACGGAAACTTTGCAAGTGAAATCGACTTATATTTTGGAAAAAGTTTAAAAACTGGTCTCTGAATTTCAATAACCTACAGACGCAAATTGTACAGACTACCTAACCTTGATCGATTTGAACTCATTGCATCCAGAAAAGTTCCTTTCTGTGTGCCATGAATTACGTTTTTTGCCCTCTAAATTTCACTCAATTAAAATTTTTCAGACATATTGACTGGTAGTAAGCTTTGAGTTTGAGCTTTTCTGAAGATTAAGATTATTTAATTTTAACTAGATTTAAGTTTGACTGTGTATGATATATCTGCAACTCAGTTATTGTCTAGAACTCTATTGAGGTTCCAGTACACATCTCGGTTAGAAGTGTGTACTTTTTCAAAATAGCAACTATATGACTCAAAAGTTTGCCAATGAAATGGAAATAGAGTTCCAGGTTCATAAAAAGTTGTGCAGCATAGTTAATTGTTGATAAATTCTTCTTATATTTTCACTCCTTTGAAGCACGCCAAGTATAGGTTTGAGGTGGTCTGGCAAAACTAGAATTTAAACAAGGTTTTGAACCAGACACATAAAAGATGGCTGACCATAATGCTGAACGTGTACTTTAAAGTTGGTTAATAACTAATTTTTTGTTCCGACTTTCGGTACGAAAGTAATGGAATATTTGTGCTCGGGGTGGGTTTTTTTTCTTCAGACAAATTTCGAATTTTTAACTAGCCATTTTTGACAGAATTTTTTTATATCATTCAAAAGGTATAGTTGTCCTGAGCTTAAATTTCAAAAAATATTTCACCTGTGACCATTTTTCGGAAAGCTATGGGGGTTTAAAGATTGCCATTTTGCCCAATTTGGGACAATTAACGCGCGATATAATTCGCGCTATTAACGCGTAAGCGGAGATTTAATCCGTCTTAGAAATTGTTCAAAACTGGTTTAAAGAAGCTTATTTGCCATAATTGATTGGTTACAAGTAGCGAAATCTATTGTTTTGTACTTAATATGGCGTGTGGGGGATGATTTTCATAGAAAAAAAATTTCAAATTTCAGAGAAAAAAAATTTCTTTTAATTTTATTTCATTTATTTTTATGTTGTTTATGTTATTACTGCTACATAAAACTTAAAGACAGTCGGAACATTCAGGGCTTCGCCCTGATACGATTAGTCTTGTTTGAAGTTTCAATCTATTTGTTTTAACTGTAACAAACTTTACTTATTTCAGCCCTTCAAGTACCGGAACCAATTGGGAGACAAACGCTGGAGAAGTGGCTAATATCTTTGCCTCTAAGTCTAACAATCGGTAGTTCGAAGCGCACCATGATCCGTGCTCGTTTCCTGCAGGTGAAGCAAAAACTCTAAGTTGAAAAAAAATCCAATAAAAGTATATGTTTTTCTAAGCAGTTTACAGCAGTTAGTTTTTCTCTGATAAAAAGCTGAATAGCTTGCATACTAATTTTCCCTTATGAATATTTGATCTGAATCCGAAACTTCCGACAAAAAGCCTCATAAATCTGCCAAAAAGAGACGAAAAGCTAAAATATAATAATTCCTAATACTGTTTTTTTGCTTCATCTTTAGACCGGCTTTTGAAGTCACAGTGGCCACATTGGTCAGATTGGCGTCTAAAAAGGCCGCAAAGTAGACAGAAAATAGAAAAAATATGATACTTGAAACTGAACTGAAAAATTTGTCGGTGTCTATTTCCGCTTTCGTCCAAAACTAATGTCAAAGCACAGGTTTTTTGACTCTATTTACAAAAGTTAACAAAAAAAGCACAGTTGTTACATGTCGGTTTTTTCAATCCTTTTCATGTTTTATTTCAAGTTTTGAAGCGTTTTTGTGAACACTTGTTCCAGTCTTTTTAGGTTTCCCTCGATTTCATCAATTTACCGCAAATTTTTGTAGGATTTTTGTCATGCCTCTCAAAAAAAACAAAAAGCAGTTTTCATAATATTTTTGTTTGGTTTGCAAGCTTTTGACTGTTTTACTTTTTTATCAAAGAAAACACTAAGAATTGAATACAATTTTTAACTATTTTTTTTATGACCAAAGAGTATAGGATATCGGGGTCTGTATGCAAATGGACTTACTAAGATTAGCCTTTTATAATAGGAGGGTCATCGGCTTCCAGTTATTTTTATCCTTAATCTTGCGACTTTCATAGTCACAAGTTCACTTGGCTTTTTGGATTCGGAAATTTACAAGAATACTAACTCTGCTAAACTTTAAGACCCAGGGGTCTAAGCTCTCCTTGAAGTTCACTGTCACTATTAAAAATTGGTTTAACTTTGGTTTTCCGGATAGATATTTGGAAAAAATCCGGGGAATTTATAAAGCCTGGAATGGTCAAGTGAGTTTATTTATAAACAAATTTTGTGTCTCTTTCAGAAGGTTCAGATTTATAGCCACCAATTATGAGCTATCCATTTCCAAATGCAAAACAGTTACACATAAGTAAACAGATAGCCCTCTAAGCAGACTGTCCCGTAAGCAGAAACATTTATCAACCCCTAAACAAAGCTAAACAAAACAAACAGTTAAAATTCTGTCGTCGCACAATTTTAAGCAACTTAGTTTTCTATAAATTTCAAAATTATCAGCTGAGTTTTTATCGTTTTGATATCAAACAAATAATTTTTCAATCCAATTTGAACAACACACTTCTATCTAAATTAAATATACAAAATTTAAAACTTGCCCAATGAAATCTCTTTCAAGAGCTTCAATAAATTTTTGGTGGTCTATGTTTTCTGATCCCGAGATAGGAAATTTTGTTCTGGAAATTTTAGAGATATTGATCTGCTAAACATATGAAAAATCAATTAATTCGAAGATAGTTTGAAGGATTTTATTTTGTTTTATTTTATGCAAAATTTCATTGGCTAAAAGGATTAGGTGATATACTATTTGCTGAAAAATCACGTAATGTCATTTTTTAAAGCTGAAAATTACAAGTTAGTAGCTTTTAAAGCAAATCTTGGCAGGTAATTGTGGTAATATTTTCTACTCCGAGCTTCAAAGAGCGTCTACTTAATACATTATGTATTCAATGGTGTTTACTTTGTAATTTAACCGGAAAAAAACAGCGAAGCAAAAGTGAAATTTTTGTTCACTCGTTAAAAAAATAAATTTCACGTCGCTTCTTTTTTATTACTCTTTTCATTCTATCAAATTGCAGTAGGAACATATATTTTTACCCCTTTCGCAAAAAAAAGGAAAAAAATTAGCTGAAAATTTTATTATTGGTGCAGACCGTTTTTTAATATTTCTTGTTGCCGGCCTGAATTGCAATTGCAAATGAAAAAATTTCAATCAGATGTCAAATTACTAACCAACATTCATTAGTTTTACCTGGCAATGAAGTAATTCTCAATTATTATTTGATTATAAATTACGACCCATTTCCCTGTTTATACTTTTTCTCGTCATAATTTCTCTTCTTAGAACTTCAAGCAACAACAACTTTGATACAAATTTAATCTATTCCGTCATTTATCACAACGTTTTTGGTCAAATTTGTTATACTTTTTCCTGGGATAAAGTTTCCTATTTTTAGAACACTAACTTTGAGTTTCGAAATCGTATTGCAACTTCGCCTTCAACGGGGAAACTTTCAACCCTCGATAACCATAGTTAACAAAGTGTGCGTTGACTTTTAAATTATCTTTTCGAAATCATATCGTAATTTAGATAGTATAAAAAAATCGATAAGCAAAAATTTTCTTTCGTTTTAGCTTATTATAATAAAAAACGGACTCTAATTATTGCTACATCTTGAATAGCAATAAAGTCTTTTAATGTTGTTTTTATTTTTCTATAAAAATCGCTATTTTTATTTAATTTATCTTTCTGCCGTATGATTTATTTTTGAGCACGTTTCCTCGAGTTGTGTGACAGAAGTTTAGATATGGACAACAGCGGCACCAAAGCAGACAGTCTGAAGCCAGACACTTTGCAACTACATCACCTGACCGAATCTAGTTCGCTCGTCGATACTCCGACAAGTTCAGCTGATCGTCGTTTGATTATGTCGTCGGATTTTTCTGAGCGTCGAAAAAGTTTCGTCAATTCGACAGAACCGGAAAAAGAGTCGCCAATTCTAGAAAGTTCTAGAAACAATTCAACCTGGATCAACGCAATAGTCAGTGGCGTGATTGCTCTTTTTTATACTGGGCTGATAATAGTTTCAGTTTTAGTTTGCTTATATTCAATTAAAAGCTTGTACATTACGAGTAATATTCCAGTAACTTCGACTACAATTGAAGAGCAAGACGAAGACTTTGAACCACCAGGTATGACTTTTTTAAACTAAATTTTGGGTTGTTAAGTTTTTTTCTAATATTGCAGGCAAGTAGCCGAGTATTATCCATGTCTCTCAGTCGAAAGGTAGGTGGTTCGAGGCGCGCCTCTGATCTCTCCTCACTTTTCCTTGCTTTTCAGATTTATTTAGCAGGTTTGACATTTCAGATTGAAGTTTTATCAGAATTTCATTTTGTTTATCAAAAATTTTTGCTTTCATCAACCAAATCTTGTGGCTCTATAACCAATTGAATAGCTTCTCACCAAATAGAAAAAAAAACAAATGAAAGTTTTTAACTTTTGCTGACATTAGAGACACAATCAGATCAGTCTGTAAATCAATTCAGTAGAGAAATTGTTTCAGTTCAATCAACTTTTTTGGTTGAATTCCCTACGCTATTTTAGCTGATAGTTTATAAATTTCTTTTTGCATAATAAAGAAATAGAGCATATCGCTTGCCTCGATTTATTTTGAAATGATTGAAACTCTCACTTAAGTTTTCAACTTCCACCATAATATAAGAATCTTATTAAATCACGCCGAGCAAAAACAAAAACGTCGTCACTTTTTTCAAAAATCTGAACAAAAACATTGACCAAAATATCATTTTTGAAACTTTTCACATACTCTTTTAAATAAGAATGAATGTGTTTTATTGTCAGAAATTATTTTTTCTAGGTCTCAGCAGGTTTGAGGCTGGTCTGAATTAGAAATGAATCAGATCTGGATCAACTTTGATTTCAGTTTGATAAGATTTTGGCAAAAAATTATCGAACCTACTGCAGGACTGTTTAAGACATGCGCATGCTTAACAGTAGACATGCGTCGGATCTGTGACATACCTGAAAAAACCCAAAAATTATAGAAAGTCATATCTGATTTTAATGAATATGTTCAGTGCGGGTTTCTGTGCTTGGATCTGGTCAGTCCATATGTTTTCGTTAGGAACAATATAACTTATAACTTGAGTTATTCTGTTTTTTTTTCTACACAATATGCTTTTCTAGAGCTCAAAAACCTGGCCGAGAATTTGATTTTAAAATTGAAATAGAGCAGAAACAAAATTTAGTTTTTGTTTTCAGCGACAGGAAAACAAAACTCAGGAAGGATTGAAACATTTATGTTGTGCAAAATGTAATGTTATTTGTACAGAATCCTCACAGACGTTTCTGAAACGTACGCTAATTACATTGAGGTAAAGTTGTATGCCCATTTTATAAAACAATTTGTGACTTCGAGTGAAACCATCTAAAGTAATTGTTCAATCAAGTATTCTTAAAATTAGAAGTTACAAGAGCCAAACTGCTTGTATCAGAGAAACGTTTTAGCCATTTTGACCTCACCTATACTGTGATTTTGTTATTTTTGCTTAATAGGGTACGCAGAAATTGACGACGTGTATTTTTTTTGAAAATTTTTCGTGTTTCAATTAATAAAAACGCCAGTAGAATGATTGATTACTCGGTTGAAGAAAATCTTTTTCTTGAAAAACTGAATTTCTAATGCATAGTTTCGCAAGCAATGGAAATCTTTGTTTTTGGGGAATTTCAAAATCGTAGAAAAGACAATAGTTTGTTGTGGTTCTGCAAATTAAATGTTTCGCGCCGTTTTCGTAACTGACTGCCGGGTACAAACTTTGATATTTAAAGTTAATTTAGTTCTGATAAATGATTATTTTCATAAGCTTTCACATAATTTCCATGAAATGTGAGATGCTCTCTTTTTTGTTTTTAGTGTTCTGATCTGTTATCACTGTTGAAAGAAAAACATAGTAGCCTAAGTTTTCAGCTGTTAACTTTATGCTAACATTAAAATTTCCTTACGCCAGGTTACTTACTATTTTGGTAAGTTCTTTTTTACTATTAGTAACTGTCTTAAGCGACATATATATGATTCAATTTACAAAATAACTTACTCGATTGTAGCAACAATTGTTGCTACAATCGAGTAAGTTATTTTGTAAATTGAATCATATATATGTCGCTTAAGACAGTTACTAATAGTAAAAAAGAACTTACCAAAATAGTAAGTAACCTGGCGTAAGGAAATTTTAATGTTAGCATAAAGTTAACAGCTGAAAACTTAGGCTACTATGTTTTTCTTTCAACAGTGATAACAGATCAGAACACTAAAAACAAAAAAGAGAGCATCTCACATTTCATGGAAATTATGTGAAAGCTTATGAAAATAATCATTTATCAGAACTAAATTAACTTTAAATATCAAAGTTTGTACCCGGCAGTCAGTTACGAAAACGGCGCGAAACATTTAATTTGCAGAACCACAACAAACTATTGTCTTTTCTACGATTTTGAAATTCCCCAAAAACAAAGATTTCCAATTGCTTGCGAAACTATGCATTAGAAATTCAGTTTTTCAAGAAAAAGATTTTCTTCAACCTGAACAAACTCTTGAGCTCTTTTTTAAACGTTGTTTTCAAATTTAATCATCTCAATTCAAATAGTTAGTGAGAAAAATGACTTAATCTTAAACAGCCAGTAGAAATAAAATCAACTGCAAAACATTTTAAAAATTTCAATTCGATTTTCAAAATATGCAATTTTTTTGAACTTTTCTAATTATATCAGAAAAACATCGCATTATTCAGATTTCCAATTAATGTTTAGTTTTGTTTTCAGATTGATTACTATCCTATATAAGATAAAAACTCTGTTTTTTGTTTTGGTTTTTTCAATTTTTATTTCAATTATTCAGAAGTCTGACTAACTTTTAGTTTTATTATTCAGATTTTTTTGTTGTTCTATGTTTGGTATAAATCCATTCATTGCTTTTTTCAATCTTAGACTATTTTTAGTACGTGTTTTTTATGCTACAGTTGTAAAGTTTTTTAATACCACAAAAAATATGATAATTTCTTAAGTTTGCTTCGCATTAGATCTTGATTTTGCTCTATAATTGATAGATACAGTTCAAAGAGAGTGGAAATTCTAAAACGCAAAAAAATTCTGTTATTACCCGAGTTGACCTCCATACACTAAAAATGCTGGTCATAAAATTCCATATAACAAAAATCATTATCATATAAACCCATACATCAAGTGTATGGAGAAAATGCTTACCATACAATTTCCATATATGGAAATTGTATGACTGGCATTTGTTTGATGACGACAAAAGTAATTTTGAAAATTTGCCCCAAAAATTTTTTGGTTTTATTTTCAACCGCAAATTGAATTTCGTACGCAAACAAACATTTTCCGAAAATTTTCCATGTGCATAATGTAGTCCTGGATACGATAATACTGTTTTTTTTCTTTTCACTTAATTTTTTTTAACTGCTGAAAAATCCTATTTTTTTTGTATGGCGTGTTTATGTATGCCTTAATCATTGTCTCATTGTTTGAAAATTCAAAAACTTCGAATAATCATCATTGAAAAATTTTGCCAAAATTAAAAGCTTGTTACTTTTGTTGTATCGTTTGTGAAAGACAGATTGAAGACAATTCAGATATTTTTCTATGTATTGTAAATGCAAGACCGTCCAACTTTTGGTTCTTTGAGTAACGAAGGTCTTTGTCACTTGTGTTCAGTTGCAAACAGAACCCAAAATTTTTTAGAAAATAAAATTAGAAACAAACAACTTTTTGGTTTTTGGAAAAAACACCTATCATACAATTTCCATTTATGGGAAAGTGTTTATTATAACGATTTCATACAATTTTCTGTACGTATGGAATTGTATGGAATGAAATGAAAAGAAATTTCCCATTTATGTGAATTGTATGATAAGCATTTTTAGTCAACCCGGGTAGTCATGAAAGAACGTTTTTTTATGTCAAAATTACAAATTTGAATTTCTATAAGATTGGTTATTCTAGTTTTGCAAAATCATTTAAATCCAAGTTTTTTTACTGAATATTTTTTGTATATTTTTAAACATTGAGCTCTTAAATAAGTGCTTACTGGCTCTACAAATTTACTCATAAAAATAACACAAATTATTTTTCTGGGTCTAAGACTGTTGTTGGATCCTTTGTATCTGGGAGTTTTCAAATACAAACGGTTGAATCCATAAACTAACATGAAAATACCATGATGCAATATCGCTTATAAACTTCTAGATTTTTTTTTTCAAGTTTCAAATCCAAAGAAACATTCTATCTTAAATGCTAAAATTTATCAATGAGTGAGACGAAAACATTTTTCTTTTTACAAAATTTGTCTTGTGCTTATAAAACAACTTAAATATTTCCACTAATCTGCCGGTTCCATTAATTACTGCCATTTAAATGGCTCTTTCTAGCTCTATTTTCCGATTTCGTTGACACAAGAAGCACTTCAAATAGTAGTTAAATTAATAAAAGCGTTTTTACTCATTTTTCTACAACACGTATTATTTTCCCCGCCCGAAATGAAACTATATAAACTACCATTTGTTGCTCTGCATCTGCTGTTACTAAAAATTGAAACTATTTCATAGACAATTTCCTCAAAAAGAAACCAGAACAAACATCAAGTTGCGATTTGAAAAAAAATGAAAAAGTAGCCTTATAAAATTTTTAAATCAAAGTTTTTCTGAGTGGCAGTATTGTTCGTCAGCCAACAACGACTAAAAACTCCCAAAAAAATTGTTTTTAATTCCATTTTAATTGTTTTCAAACATGATACCTATGATTAAAATCAGAACATGCATTGTCTTTTTAACTTCAAGCAAAACTGCTCATATCAGTTTGAGCCCTTGAATTTACTCCCTGCGTTTTAAGGTATCAGATGACGCTTTTGAATAAAAATTTATAAATTTGAAAAAAAACAGAGACAAAAAAAGAAAATATCTTTTTGTTGGAAAACTTTCCCACCAAAGTTTAAAAAATTGAATTTTCTCTGGGGAAAAATTGCCCAAACAAAAGCATTTTAAGTAGTTATTCTTCAAAAGTATAAGCATTTTTTCCATTTTTTTTGGAGAAAACACCTCAGTTACTTGATAATAAGCCAGAAAAAGATATGAAACAACAGAGCAAAACCCATTTTTTA